CTCTTTAATCAATTTGTTGGTGCACTCAAACCAAGTGGCGTAACCACAACACGTGCGCGCGTGGCTGTCATCCGCTTTGTCCGTCACTGTGTCGTCGATTTGGTCGACTGACGCCAAGAAGTTGTTATTACAGGTCTTCTTATAGACCTCCGATGAGGTGACCTTCTTGTGGATACAGGGGCTCTCCTTCAGGAAATCTGTTCAAGCAATGTATTTGGAAAATTGTATATTGAACGCTACGTAAGCCAATAGACTGCCATCGACTGTCGATGTCAACTGAAGACATACCTAGTCTGTCGGGATTGTCAGCCTTACAGAAGTTGTTCAATCGTCCGGTGATTTGATCTAAAACCAGATCTAAGACTTCTCTATGAAGAGGAGTTCCGCACTTTTTGGCGAAGGTTTTAATGCACTTCAATGTCTCGTCTCGGATAGTCCTGAACAATCAAATTATGATTTTAATTTACAACTTAATTATGCGCAAAATATTAATAAAATTCATGTATAATTATTAACATGTAGAAACAAAATATAAATAAATATAATTATTGCTTATAAATAAAATCATAGGTATGAACAATTATTCTGTATTTCTTAAACTCATTTCCAAATAAGTATACATAAATTGAATGAATTTAATATTTTAGATAATAATATAATATATTATGGTATTTGATGACATACTTGCAGATCTTGTCGAGCCCTTGAGAGGTGGCGATGAGGGCCGTCGGGTCCTTGCCTTTGCTCAGACTTTGCATTTTGTTCATACATGCCTCGGCTTCCCTGAGGTGACACTGGTCCTTTTTATTACGGTTACGCCGTCTATTATTCTTAGGCTTTTGGGCAACCGCCTGGCCAATCAATAGGACCACAATAGTCACACTTAAGATGACTGTTCAGTAAAAGACAATTCATATAACATTAGAATATAACCAAAGAATTGAAGAATTTATTTAAAGAATAATCAATAAGTTTCACTACAATTAAAAAGTTAACTCTAAATACTATTCTCAATATTGATGTACAAATAAAGTCTCACTTTTGATATTCATCTTAAGTCTTAGGACTGATTTCCACACAAAAGCTTATGATGTGTTCACTTGAATACCGATCTGATCAGCGGATGACTTACGACTGGCGACCAAACCTGAGGTGCGCTTCAAATAAATAAGTTTCTGGAGTCGAGAAAAATAGTCTCGAAATTAATGATCGCTTCAAAAGTTTCTTTTCTTAACAACAGATTTGCTTTTTCTCTGCCAAACGAAATACGATTGAGTGATGCGTTACGCGATTTTCCCCGAAGTCTCAGATAATTAATACAACCTTTCCATTAGAGTGGTATTCAAATCATACATCTATTTTCAAGGTCATTATCTCACTTATCAAGTTAATGTGGAGGTATGAGTGCTATTAGGATAATGGTGCTATTTGTTATAATAATGCGATACTGAAGTGGCCACAACCCCTATATATATACCCCTATGTATACGATAAACTAATAAAGTTTATGTTTTTTCAATTCAATTTCAATTGTATTTATTTTAGCAACTCTTCCAACACTTAATGATATTCAGGGACTGAATGTCCTAAACATGACGTCCTTATGTGAAAGATATGCAAACCTTTCGAAACCCCTGAACCGATCCGTACGTAATAAAGCAGATAATCATCGGTTGAGAAATACATCTAATTATAGACTTTTTGTTTTGTTTTAAAATATTCTATGAAATCATTTGAAGTTAAATTAACTTTCCACAAGTGATTCACTATATTTTGACAGATTTTTTCTACTAAACTATATATTAAGCTAACCTTTAAATCTCTCTCTCTCTCTCTCTCTCTCTCTCTCT